TCTGTGCAAGATATCAATATAAGAAGCTTCCAGAGCACAAAGGCAGAAAGCTAGGCAATTTTTCCTGGACTAAAAAGAATATGAGGCTGAAGGTGCAGGTGAATAGGGAAGATTCACTTACTAGTCTTCTTTTTCACCTTGGTGGCATTGATATCTGCTTTTGTCTTCTGGATTCGAGAGAAGATTTCCTTAAACAGAGCTTTATATTCTGGCTGACTCTGCTCTAGCCGTTTGTCTACAGCTTCTACATGTTTGCTAAGACTCTTCTCCATTGTTTTGAGCTCTTCCAGCTCATAACTCTCTCCCCGGAAGTCTCTAAAGGAGCTGTCACGGGAGATGGGCCGAGAGGTTTGTACACCGGCATGGCGTACGCTGTCCTTATGCTGACGGCACTTGCTGAGAAGCTCCTCATACTTTTCCAGCAGGGCATGGTATTGCTCATCCACTTCCCTCAGGATTGACATTCCCCTTTTCCGTACATTGTTGGCATGGAGTGTATAATTACCTTCATGGCGACTCACAGCATCCTTGGTTACAATGGCATTAAGGGCTGTGTCGCTACAGCTTTTCCGGACAGGATGGTTTGGAGAAGCTGCCATGGAGGATTCATGATTTTTCCTCCCATCTTCCTCAGAAAGGTCTATGTAGTCGGCTTCAGGAGCATTGTTTAATGGCTCCAGAAGTGTTTCTGACAGGTTATCCTCTCTACTGAGGAGATACTTCTTGACTTGTTTCATCTGCTGGAGTTCCAATAATTCAGTTTCCAATTCTTTAATGCGCAATTTGCAGCTTTCCATCTCACAAACTCGTTGCTCAAGATCTGAGTACTCCTGGATGACTGATGTATACTCTCTCTCCACCCTTTCTTTTCGCTGCTTCTCCTGATTCACTTGGGACCGGAGAGAATTTACCATTGCTTGCAGTCGCTCATTCTCTCGTTCCAAGGGCATCTGGCTGAACTCCATTGAAGAGCTGTGGATTTGGAATGCATCCTCATATCTAATATTAAAAGGATAATACAGTTAGCAAATTAACACAGGATCCATAGTTAGATAGCGTTATCATTCTTGTGAAGTGTCTAGTGGGACACTTCTGGATAACTCTGTTGGCCTTAAAGATAGGCATATTTCATAACACAATGCAATAGATATATATGTACCTTTGAGCTACTAGTTTTCTATATATAGTTATATATTTTTCACAAAGGATATTCAAATATATAATCTTTCCAAAATTCTGTTTATCACATATCCAAGATTCAAAAAGTAAATCTGTATACAGATAGTCCTTGACTTAAAACTATTTGTTTAGCGACCATTTGAAGTTAGAACAGCATTGAAAAAAAATGATTACGCTGGCCCTTGCATTTACAATCATTAGAGCATCCCAAGGGTATGTAATCAAAATTTGGATGCTTGGCAACCAGCATATATTTATGATGGTCGCAGCATCCTAGGGTCATGTGATCATCATTTGTGCCCTTGCCAGCTGGCTTGCAACAAGCAAAGTCAGTGGAGAAAGCTGGATTCATTTAACAACTGCAGTGATTTGCTTAACAAGCATGGCAAAAAAGGACATAAAATCAGACATGACTCACTTAATAATCACCTTGATTAGCAATAAAAATTCTGGTCCTAATTGTGGTCATAAGGACTGTTTACAGCATATATGGTAGATACTGCTTCTATGTTGAATGCCAGTATTCTCATTTGAGATGAGTCCTGACAGCAGCTGATATCTAAAATCTTATATCTTTCTCATTCAAACACCAGTTTTAACTTACATGGGAAGAGTGAAACACTACAAAATTACACCTTTCTTCCAGTTGGGTTGCCTAGAACCCCTAGTGTTAAAACAGAATTGTGCTATACCCTGAAGTGACTGAGACCCTGTACTTCTCAATACAGTGTATTTCTGTAGTAATAAGAGCTACTATTCCATTGTGATTATAAAGAAACTATACTGATCCTTACTGGCAGGTGGATCATTATCAATACAGTAGTACAGGGGTAGGCAACCTTGGCTCTTTTATGACTCGTGGACTTCAACTCCCAGAATTCCTGAGCCAGCCATGCTGAGGGGACAGGGAGGTTTCCATGCTGAGGTACGTTGGCTCAGGAATTCTGGGAGTTGGTCCACGAGTCATAAAAGAGCCAAGGTTGCCTACCCCTGCAATAGTAAAATGAAGACGTAAAAGAACCTTATTCATTTTCCCCATTACCCTAAGTTTCATACAGCTTGGATGCTTACTGAGCAATTCATGAAATTTCAGACCAAAAGTCCAGATTTTTACAGATTTATTTATCTGTTAAATTTATGTCTGACTTTTCTGTAGGAGTTCAAAGCAGCTTATACAAGGATTTCCTTTAATTTTGCTGCCTCAACCAACACTCGTGGCATAGGTAGGATTGAGGAAAGAGGACTGCCTCAAATTTTTCATGGCTAAAGGTAGATTTGAATGTGGATCTCCATGATCCTAGTCCAACACCTATACCATATACCAATATTCTTGTGGCATTTTTAAATCTTGAGAAGAATTGGATAATGAATAAAAGACAGAATAGTGCACTGTGACTTTTTATTAAGACTCTAATGCAGTGTTTCTCAACCTTGAAATTTTAAGGCATGTGGACTTCAACTCCCAGAATTCCACAGTCATGCTCTAATGCATGGAAACATTCTGAAATTTAAACTTGAACCAGGATTCAGTTAATATCAGGTAAAGTTTAATTTAATTTAATTTAATTCCTAAAGGAAATTAATACAGTACATTTGGTAACAAGCTACAGGAATATATCCCATGATGTTAACTTGCTTTTCTTTTATATAGTGCCATCTCTATTTCGTTTTAGAGTATAAATTTCAACTGCATTGAAAAATATGAGAAAGGAGAAGTTAAATAGGAAGGAATGTGACATGGATTTAAGCTTTGTTCCATAAAGAATTGGATAAAGAATAAGCAGAATTTGAAGAATAATTATTTCAATCATCAATAACCAAAAGGACACTATGTTCCTTGTGTGTCCTGGATATTATACAATATTTAACTATATCACTTACATCAGATCTAACAGAGCAATTTGGCAATACTCCTTGAACCTTGTTTTGATTTTCTGATGTGCTGTCCAACCCCGCAAAAAAAATGATATACTGATTTGACAATGGAGAGACACAAAATAAGTAAGTGTAACCATGGGGACTGGCCAATTCCCCCTTTGAAATTCTGTCTTCAGGTGCCTTTGAATCTGTCCAGAGTTAGTGGGAGAATGGATATAAAAGAAGTGCTGAGAAAATCATATCTGGCTTAATTCAGCATATATTCTTCCTTGACTCCAATAAACAAGCTTGTGAATGGGAAGGGAGCGAGCAATACCAGACTCCCCCATGCCTCATTCATATATGGACTAGAAAGAGGGCAGTGAAATCCCCCTTAATTGTTATAAATCAGTTATCTTTAAAATGCAAATGTTATAATGTTATACATAGCCTTAGGACACCTTGGATAAAACATATCAAAGGTGTGATAAGGATATTTTTACATGGATACTTAAAAGATTTTGCCTAGAATTATTTTCGAATCTAAAGACAACAGTAATTATGTTTGTCAGAACTGCATGAATAATGTTTACTGATTGGCTCATTGATTTTTCGACTGTTTCTGCTAGAACCAGATGGGACACCAAAGAATTGCAATTAGTATTGACGATGAATGAGATCTCTGACCTTCAGCTGGTAATGAAATAAAGCATGTAGAAATATGTATATTTTTATTATTCTGTAATTCTGTGTCAAATGGAGGAGTTTCAAGTGTGAGAGGAACTCAGTCAGTGCTCTGAATGTGTAATGTGCACTAAAACTAATACTAAGCTAATGGTGAGGAGTGCTTTAAACCAGACATGTCAAACTTGCGATATCACGTGATGTTACTTGACGTCGCGCGATGTAACGGAGCTTTTCCCCCATTGCTGGAAATGGGGTGGGTGTAGTTTTCTTGTAATATGTCCGGCCCGCGGGCTGGCAGTTTGACACTCCTGCTTTAAACTGATATAAAGGAGAGTAACTTCTTGAAGTAATTATTTCCATCCATTTGATGCTGCTGGCATCAGATGAAACAATCACTGGAACACAGTGTAGCCTATTTCAAAACAGCCTCTTCTATTTGCATAAATTAGGGAGATATTACATAAACTAATCTAAAGTCTTTGTGCTGCATTGCTGCCCCAGCACATGGCAAGTGCACTTGTTTTCATTTCGAATGCCAATCTAATTGTTTGTTTCGGAGAAAGAAATGAACTTCAGCTTCACTTTATCTCAAACTGAAGTTCAGTTGCCTTAAGAGATTTCTATCTACAACCCTAATGAGAACCTCTCATTGGCACTACAGGAAGTTTAATAATTGTTAAGCCCACTTTTTAAATATGTTTCTCCTGCATCAGTTTTCTGCTACGTGAGCATTTACAGCCTAGAAATTAAAACAAATTGTCAAATTTAAAAAAATATATTTCAATTCATTATTGAATAAATCTTTAAAAAACGAACTAGAGTTTTCAGAATAATGCAGAAAATCCCAAGCCTTGATTCAATTAAATGACGCCTTGATTTCTAATATAACAAATGGAGATTTGAGAATACTGTGAATGGCTCCAAAACTGGGAAGCAACTATTTCCACAATTATTGAGGAAACAGTTGGGAAGGAAGAAAACAGATGTAAAGGTCCACACAAAGTTAAGATACACTATTATATCATCTGCTTCCTCTATAAATTAACAGTTGGCCAAGCAGAGATATTTAACAAAAATGAAGTACTATTTCTCCTGTCCAAAATACCTAGGACTTGAGCATAGTTCCTTGAGACAAGGAAATGTGTGGATCGTTCGACGCCTTTCTCTTTTTTCCCGGCGGACACGCAGCTGGTCTAAGCTCTGCAGTTCTTCTACTTGTTTTTGTAGCTCGTCAACTTGATTTTGCAGTCCTTCAATAGTTTCTGTCAGGCTGTAAATAAATTTAGGATTGATGGAGGAGAAATGAAACAAAAAGCTGAGCACTAAATTGCATAGAACAAAATACAGACATAACATGAAGAAATGGTTATACTACTCGTATACCTATGCTTTCCTCCAAGCTATAATTATCTGCAGCACCATCTCTGGAGAATATGTATATGTGCCCTTCAACTAAAATTTTACACTTCAACAATTCTGGCCTGTAAATTGCAATTACATTCTCAGAGAGGTAAGCTCCTATTAGAATCAGCTGACTGTGCTGTCAACTTTTCTCTGTTTCTTTTCTCCCTCAATATTAATTATGTATGCTTTCCCCAAATATTTAAAGAAGCATAAATCAAAGAATAACTATGTTTCTATCTGCCTATTTTTTTCAGAAATGCTAAATCATCCAAGTTGCTGTTATGTTATGAACCGAACCTTCTCACACATCCCTTTTCCATTTCAACACATTTTCAAACGTTTGCTTTTTCCATCCTACAAATCCTACCCTGGAAATATGAGATGGTATAGACTAGAGGACTCGTCAATAGTGTTTTCCAGTGGGAGTTATGTGTCAGAATTTTTCACTCCGAAACACTTTTAAACTACCCTTCAGGAAACAGAATGTACAATAACACTGGGGCAATGATAAGTCCAAAACAACATATGGGATAAGAGAGAAGTCATCCATTCACATGCCCATCTAATATAATTCTTTCCTCGTAGGGAAGCTGGCTCACTATATTTTTTTTATTTGTAACAGGTGTTCTCAAAAGAGAACATATTTATGTATCTCTCTGTCACATTGTTTTCAGGAGGGAATATGAGTACAAAATTTCCTATTAGTTCTGAAATCAGCAGTTTTTATCATTTAGAAGCTGCAAAATGCAATAGCTAATCTTTCTAAAGATTGGAAAACAAAAGCCCTCACTCAAATCTGAATACTCTTTCAACTATTAGGTAACTGCCAGCAATGCAATCTCTACCTTTCAATTTTTGACATACCTGAGACAAACATGATATCCCTGGGCCCCACGGTATGGTGGGACTTTTCAAAGTCTTTGTGAGCTGAATAAATTACCTTTGTTCAGCTGTCACTATAGCAAAAATTGCAAGGTAACTGCTCTGGAGAATTGTGGGAACCTCCACTTCATTCCACTTACCCACTCCATAGAGACGCACTTCTCACTTGAACCCAAGGCATTTTAACGTTCCCCCCACCCCCAAGCAAATGCAGGGAAGAAATGGCAAATCCAGGGGAAGGATATTGACTGACTGCCATTTTTGCATTTTTCCTGATTGACTAGCTAGCCAGCTATATGCAAATTCAGGGAACATAGCAAGACATGCTGCAGAGGTAAGAGGGATATTCCCAATGTCTGTGTAAAGGTGTCAATAGATTAATATTAATTTTCTCATTTGGTTGTCAGTAGACTTAAACAAAATTGACTTTATGATTAACTGTGGTAAGAGGGGTTGTATTTTCCTGTCCATGACTATGAATGAAAAAATCTGATCCTTTGAGGATAGCAAAAAAATCTTAAATCTACCAATCAGACCCACCAGACAAATGATTACCATTGTATCTTCTGCTGGGATGCCTTACTCTCTAGCACAAGCTTCTGGTTGGCCAATTCTAGATCCCGTGCTGTTAAATCCAGCTGTTCATAAACTTTAGCATGCTGTTCATTCATATGCCGCAACATTTCCAGCTGTTTTGTCAAATACTATAAAGAAAAACAAAAAGAAGTGCAGCCGAACCAATCCAATCTCTTTAAGAATAGCATAATTAAACAGAAGGCAAATCAATTGCAACTTTTTAAATGTCTAAAAATGTGTCTCTAATCAAGCATCAATTTTAGGATAGCCTAGGCAATTATAAAAATGAGCAAATGGGATAATCTATCTTTAAAAAATAATATAAAGTTTTCTTTCATACAAAAAGAACAATCTGTGGAGAGATGACTAAGCAGAAACTATGTTGGCGACAGTTACAAAAACATGTTTTAAGCCCAAGAAATGAAGAAAATATCAGAAAGTAACTCAAATGGACTCTGCTTTAACTCCTCCCTGGGGTATAAGATGGAGGGAAGGGAAAATGCAGTCAGGATTCTTGTGTTATAGGTTTTCTTCACAAAATCGATCTTCAATCTTTCTTGAGGAATCTGTTTCCTGAACTGAACTACTTCAAAGGGCTGACCTCAATCTTAAAAGCCTCGCTTCTCTGCCTCTTACATTTTATACAGATATAATTTAAAAATACATTTATGAACACTCATACAGATAATCAAATAAGACACACCAATTTAAATCCCTTTAAAGAAGCAGAAAATGCCTTATGGAATTCTTTCCACCCTTTTAAAAAAGATACTCTGCATCACGAGACTAGAAAGGACAGAGGGGCTTATGATGAAGCAGTCAGAAGCATTCTGAGATGCTTCCCAATTTCCTCTCCCAGGCAGACACACGAGGGACTTTCCCCCCCCCCTTCTGTTTCTCCAATCAGGGCTGATTACTTTCAACACAATCTTTCTCTTATTGGTTTTTCCCACATCAAATTATCCTGTTTATCGAGAATTATCCCACAGAGAGAGTTATGAGTCTCCTTTCATCAGCGTTTCTCAACCTCAGTAATCTTAAGATGTATGGAATTCATTGCCTTGAATTCTCCAGCCAGCACATCTTAAAGTTGCTGAGGTTCAGAAGCAAGCGTCACTTTACACAATTCCGTTTTGTTGGGTAAAAAAGAAAAATAAGAGAACCTGTACTAGCTCAAAACAACCCATATTAAAGTTTCTGCCCAGGATGGAAGTGTATGAGCTGGGGGACAGAGGGCTTTGCTGGATAATGACAAAACAAACGCATCTCAAGTGACAAAACACTTTGTCACGGAACTCTTCTGCTCTGTTCTTCCAGGGCTTAATCCAGCTTTGCTTCAGCAACTTTCATGTGTGCTTCACACCTTCTCCCTAATCATACATCTTTGTGGATGCTGCTAATTTGACTGTCCTAAATTAAATCCTACCCAAATATTTACATATATTTTTTAGCAATGCTTAATGTGCACTTGCAGCATAAATGGGTTATTTGAGTTATACATTTGCTTGCACTTTCCCAGTCTCTGTTGAAAGTACCTCTATCTCTTGCACTTGTTCCTCATTAGTGGTGTACATTTGCTGCAGAGAATCTTCCAATTCCTTGTTGCGCTCCAGAAGTGTCTTCCCTAATTCGGCTGCTAAGTGCAAGTCTGAAAAGCAGACAAAACATATATAAAAGCCTTTTTACTCTAAGTAATTTGGAATACCATATGCAATGCTGGTTGACACCTTTAAATATTCTTAACCCATTTTTTTCAAGAACCAAAGCAGCTAATGCCACTGAAAGCTGTATCAAACTTCAAAGGTAAAATCAGTACACATCTGACATTACATGATTAAAAGTAACTTCTTTAATTATACTTCTTTTAATTCCGAAGAATCTTATGATAAAAGCCACACTTATTTTGTCCCTAATTCTTGCAGACTAGAGGTGTTTTTAAGCCTCTTATATAATTGAATCATTTTCTCTCCAACATGATTTTTTCCTACACACGATAGAAATATTTTATTATTGGGTTCAGCATACATATTTATGAGTGATTTAAGGTTACTTATGAGTTATTTATTTCACAGCTCAGCTGAAGGGCAAATTGTTCTAATTATCTCGCTCTGGTGGAAATTACAAGTCAGCAGTGCTAATTGTATTTCTGCTCTCCTAATTTCGTATTATAATTCTTAGCTGCTCAGAGAAGATGTCCTGAAGAGTGGCATATAAATTCCATAGTAACAAGAAAAATAACGAGGAGGATATGACTAGAACAGTAGAACTAGCAACACGTGCTTTATAATATACCTTGTGACCTCTACAGAAAGATACAAAACACCAGGAAAAGCATTCAAGTTTACCTTGAGGTAAAATGGGTGGTCTATAAATTTTATAAATAAATAAATGTCAATGCCTTCAAGGGATCCAAAATGATCCTATTTTGCTGATACTAAGCCATCTGGAATAAGGTATGATCATGGCAATCTGCTACTACTTCAGAGCCTCCTGAAGAACCTGAAGATGTGTGGGGTCCAGCCTATACTGTAAAGGGTTTTTAAAAAGTGAGCTCCTCCTTTGATTTAATCTGGAAACACACTGGCAGTTAATATAATATTTGTGAGATTCTTCATTATGCACAGTAAACAGCCAACAATTGTCTTTGGCAGTTATAAATATTTGGCCCATCCCTTAAAGAAATCAATTTGCCTTTCTTCCTTATCAGGTGGCTGACACATGTTGTTGTTAGTTGCGAAGTTGTGTCTGACCCATCGCAACCCCATGGACGTTCCTCCAGGCCTTCCTGTCCTCTACCATCTTCTGGAGTCCATTTAAGCCCACGCCTACTGGTTCAGTGACTCCATCCAGCCACCTCATTCTCTGTCGTCCCTTCTTCTATTGCCCTCAATCTTTCCCCGCATTAGGCTCTTCTCCAGTGAGTCCTTCCTTCTCATTAGGTGGCCAAAGTACTTGAGTTTCAACTTCAGGATCTGGCCTTCTAAAGAGCAGTCAGGGTTGATCTCCTTTAGGATTGACCGGTTTGATCGCCTTGCAGTCCAGGGGACTCGCAGGAGTCTTCTCCAGCACCATAGTTCAAAGGCCTCAATTCTTTGGCGCTCAGCCTTTCGTATGGTCCAACTTTCACAGCCATACATTGTAACTGGGAAAACCATGTCTTTGACTATACGTACTTTTGTTGGCAGGCTGATGTCTCTGCTTTTTAGTATGCTGTCTAGATTTGTCATAGCTTTCCTCCCCAGGAGCAAGCGTCTTTTAATTTATTGGCTGCAGTCCCTATCTGCAGTGATCTTGGATCCCAGGAAGATACATAGCCACAGACAAACTATAGTTATTCCATTTCTAAAGAGATTTATTCAACTTCCTCTCTCATAATCTTGCTATTTGGTCAAAATGCAATTGTTCTAGTTAGAATTTAACTTGCTAGGCCAAATGTTATGTGAACTGACTCATTTTAAAGGTATTCTATTTGCTTGGACTTTTATATATTAAGTGTTTATTTGATGCCTTTATAGTTGTAGGATAGAGACTGGCAGAGGTAGGGGGAGGAATTAAATGAGGCAGCAGTTAGAATCCTTATCTAGCCACAAAAGAATGAAGTCTAACCTCCCTTGATTGCCATTCACCTGCATTTAATTCTGTCCAGGTATAAACTGTTAATCTGAGAAGATTCCTGTGAATAGGCTTTAGCAATAAATCAGTAATTTAGAAGCTTCATATGTAGACTGGTTTTTGGCAATAATTGCTATTCTATGCTGCCCTGATTATTATGAGAACAAAACCAAACATGTTATATGATGGTATATAAGTGCAGCCTAGAAAGTAAGCTTTAATCTTTTTTTCTTATATTGTTCTATAACTTCCTCAACTGCTTTCTATATTGGATTATTAACCCAGAGTGTCTTGTAGCTTACAAAACACTTAGGGAAATTGGGTTTATAGTTTTGTACAACAACTCTCCAATACTTTTGTCCCTTTCTTATCCTCATCAGCAATTTTACCAAGTCCTCCCAGCTGCCTTTACTTCTGTTTGATCACCATTTTGTCAATGCAACGAGAGAAGATTGGAGTATTGGCTGTCTCAGGTGGAACATCACAGAGACTTTCAAATGCAGCTGCCCATTTAAATGACAACTTTCTCAGGGCAATATGGCTATAAGGAAATGTCTTAATTATCCCATCCTGGTGGGAAGTAGAAGGGGGTAGTGCTACCACTGAAGTGCTAATTGAATCACTGCCTTTTACTTGGGTTTCTCTGAATTTAACAAGCTACTGGTGTTGGGCAGCTATTATTTAGAATCCGTTGCTATAGTAAAAGGAGGAGAAAGGTGCCCCACTTCTTTCCATCTGCTTCATTCCCCATACTTGCACGGTTCAGGTTTCAAAATTAACATGCCTTTCCTTTAATAGCTCTTAAGACATATATAGCAAGACGATTTAGCCTCTACTAAATCTCTTGATAAAAAGATCAGTTATTAAAATGGAAAGGTGAATTGTGATAAACATATCTACATTGCAGACAAGAAGTAATGGTGTACAATAACAAAGGTAAATTATTAGTAAATCAGTTTTGCTTAATTTTCCTTTAAAGGCAAAGACTTCTCAGGAAGCACCATATAATATCCAAAGCTTGGCTTAGGAGTTTGGTATTCCTGAACTTTTATCTGTTGGTTATTTGCCAGAAATCTGATCTCCAGTTTTGGTACTATAGCACTGAATGAATTGTTAAGAGCCAACTTAATGTTAATTGCAATAATG